CAAACAGTGATTGCATTTAACAACTCAAAGCTGCTTTTTAGAGATTTAAAAAAAACTTTAAAGGAAACAGGTTATCAATCAGGAGGCCCAGATTTAGTCAGAAATGAAAATGAAAATCTTACGGGGATTTACTTCTTTGAATTGTTCAGCACTCCAAACAAGAAAAGGTGGCAAAAGCAATAAAAGAACCTTCATTAACTTCATGACCGTGGATTTTGTTGGTCAAGTAGCTCATTCATGCAGAGGCCACTATGCAAAAGAAGCATGGTGTGGCTGCTGGTGGCAAACTGATCCTGATGTGGTCTATTTTCCACCAAAATCACAGATCGTCGAGAAATCACACTCATCTCCCAGACTCTAACCTTAGAGTATTTACATACGTACATGCATTTCCCTCCTCGTCCACTGCCAATGTAACCTGTGCCGAGGTAAGGGCTGCACCACCCATTGCTTTACACAACTTTTAACCCTCCTCTTGCAATTCAAAGTGTAATAATACTGAGAATCATGCCTGCCTTCCCCCTCTCCCTCCCTCTCCAGCAGCATTATCACTCTGGGTGACTGGCATCATGACACTCCCCTGCTGCTGCCTCTGTGAAAAATGCCCTCAGTGGTAGAAAAGGTGCAAAACTGGTTAAGCAGTGGTGAGCAACAAGTTTTTGTAACAGGGATGTATTTGATGGAGAAACTAAAGAAATTGGGGTACATATATTCAGAGGTGGGTGACAAGACTGCAAACTCTATTAGATTCTTCCCAGAGAGACTTTAGTAGATATTATGTCCAGAGTCACCAAAGTCAAGTCATTTCTAGGACCAGAGAGTCAGTTGTTAGATATTCTTATAATTTTCTGGTATTGCTTTACTTCTGTTAGAATTAAATAAAATCCACGCTCTATTCTTAAAAATTGTGTTAATATTTGAGAATACTAAAATGCCCCAAACCAGAGGTGATTTGGGATTTTGTGGCTCCCATGCACAGAGGCTGTTTCAAGTGACTACATCCAGCCTTCCTGTCTTGCCTGGTACAATCAGCTTAGAGAAACACACCAGACACCACCAAACAACAAAAGCACACTTCTTATAGAGTGCCTGCTCACTGATGGAGGAGCTGGAAGAAGTCACACATTTTGACTTTGACTGAGACAACACAGCCAGTGTTCTCAAGGGAATTTGGATATCAGCTTTCCATAGATTTCATGTATCTTTCCAAATCTGTTCTTTGTCACTCTGTACAACAGCCACTTCCCTACCTTAGACCTGTGCTGGGCAGAGATGTACCTGCTAATGTCCCCAGTGCCACAGCTGTGGATGCTGAAGGTTCAGGCTGATGTGCTCCTCCTAAACACCATTCCCTAAGGAAGCTTGATTTTTAAAATGTGCTTTTCATGTCATTTACTGGTTCAAATGGAAGAAAGCTGCCACTAATGAGCTAATCACCCACATCTACAGCCCTCCTTGGCTAGTGCTCAACCTCTCCCAGCTGGCCAATATCCCCCTTACAGCCCCACTTGCTGATGCTTCTTCTCCTACATTCTTGTCAGGGACTGCATGTTCTGATCCAGCACAGCAGTTGTTAAGTTTCTTAGCACAACCAGATTAAAGACTGGATGCCTTCAGACAGCTCTGGCTTCTCCTG